TTGATAAAGGAGGCAGGAATGTACAGTGGAGAAAGGACAGCCTCTTCAATAAGTGGTGCTGGGAAAACTGGACAGGTACTTGTAAAAGTATGAGATTAGATCACTCCCTAACACTGCACACAAAAATAAGCTCAAAATGGATTAAAGACCTAAATGTAAGGACAGAAACTATCAAACTCTTAGAGGAAAACATAGGCAGAACCCTCTATGACATAAATCACAGCAAGATCCTTTTTGACCCACCTCCTAGAGAAATGGAAATAAAAACAAAAATAAACAAATGGGACCTAATGAAACTTCAAAGCTTTTGCATAGCAAAGGAAACCATAAGCAAGACCAAAAGACAACCCTCAGAATGGGAGAAAATATTTGCAAATGAAGCAACTGACAAAGGATTAATTTCCAAAATTCACAAGCAGCTCATGCAGCTCAATAACAAAAAAAAACAAACAACCCAATCCAAAAATGGGCAGAAGACCTAAGTAGACATTTCTCCAAAGAAGATATACAAACTGCCAACAAACATATGAAAGAATGCTCAACATCATTAATCATTAGAGAAATGCAAATCAAAACTACAATGAGATATCATCTCACACCAGTCAGAATGGCCATCATCAAAAAATCTAGAAACAATAAATCCTGGAGAGGGTGTGGAGAAAAGGGAACACTCTTGCACTGCTGGTGGGAATGTGAATTGGTACAGCCACTATGGAGAACAGTATGGAGGTTCCTTAAAAAACTACAAATAGAACTACCATATGACCCAGCAATCCCACTACTGGGCATATACCCTGAGAAAACCATAATTCAAAAAGAGTCATGTACCAAAATGTTCATTGCAGCTCTATTTACAATAGCCCAGTGATGGAAACAACCTAAGTGCCCATCATCGGATGAATGGATAAAGAAGATGTGGCACATATATACAATGGAATATTACTTGCCATAAAAAGAAACGAAATTGAGCTATTTGTAATGAGGTGGATAGACCTAGAGTCTGTCATACAGAGTGAAGTAAGTCAGAAAGACAAAGACAAATACCGTATGCTAACACATATATATGGAATTTAAGAGAAAAAAAATGTCATGAAGAACCTAGGGGTAAGACGGGAATAAAGACACAGACCCACTAGAGAACGGACTTGAGGATACGGGGAGGGTGAAGGGTGAGCTGTGACAAAGCGAGAGAGAGGCATGGACATATATACACTACCAAACGTAAGGTAGATAGGTAGTGGGAAGCAGCCGCATAGCACAGGGAGATCAGCTTGGTGCTTTGTGACCGCCTGGAGGGGTGGGATGGGGAGGGTGGGAGGGAGGGAGACGCAAGAGGGAAGAGATATGGGAACATATGTATATGTATAACTGATTCACTTTGTTATAAAGCAGAAACTAACACACCATTGTAAAGCAATTATACTCCAATAAAGATGTTAAAAAAAAAAGAATTGAATAAATAGGATACACGCCACACTGCTAATTGGAGAGATGTAATATTATAAAAACCTCTTGCAAAATTGCCAGAGCCATGAGAACATGTGTGAAAGACACGTGGGGCAGAGCAGGTCCAGTAGACTTACAAACATGTGAGGCAGAGAAAAAAAGTTTATCGTTGAATGCTACTGAGATTTTGTTTGTTACAAAGTAATAGCTAATAAATACCCTTCCACTTAAAAAACTTACATCTTTTCAAATACATGGCTGAATTCACAAGTAAGGGAAATTCAAGGGGCCACAAATAAGAAGGAAATAAAACTCAAGTGGTAGCTGTGAGCTGTACACTTAACCTTGATGCTCTTCCCTGTAAATATGTTATACTTCAATTTAAAAGTATATCAAAGGTCATAAATTTGAAAGTTAAAGAAATTGAACTAGCTATTTAAAATTTACTTACACAAAAAAAGAAATTCAGACAAAGTTCTACCAAATAAAGACAGAATCACATTCCTACCCAAAATAGAAAAAGAGAAAAAGTATCCCAACTTATTTTATAAGTCTAATATCACTTTAGTACCAATAGTAGATAAGGAGAGTATGATAAGGGAAATTTATGTCTGTCGTACTGATTAACATAGATGGAAAAATCTAAATAAAATTGTAGCATGCTAAATGCTGGGGAGAAAGGAACAATATAAACTACTTTAGTTTATCCCAAAAATGCAAGCATGATTTAACATTTGAAAATCTATTAATGTGTTTCACTAAACTAACAGAATAGAGTCCTAGAAATCTGCATAGAAATCCTCTTCCATCTTTGGGTAAATACCAATCTGTTCTTATTTATAAGATTTGAATTCTCAAGGCTAGGTAAATAACAAATTAAGAATACCAGAAAGCTATAAACTGAACAAGTCCCAGAACTCTCAAGGATTAGGAGACAATTGAGCTCTAAACAGTCAGAATGGAGAGGCCTTTTTGAACATCCAGGACATTCATTAGAGACTCCAAAAGGATCATTTCTTAGCAGTAGGGTTAAATTAGCCCTAAAGTAAGGGATACTCTTGAGCTACCCTAACGAAGCTTAAAAGCAAGACTCAAGAGGGTCAAGCTGGTCTACAAATAACTACTTTCCAAAATAAACTCATCATTCTTTAAAGAAAAACAACAAAGTCCAGATGTTCAACAGTATAACATTTGCAATATCTAGCATCCAATAATCAAAGAAAAACTAGACATGCAAAGAAGTAGAAAAAATATGTCACAAAACAAGGAGATCATGAATTCTTTAAAAACAATCCAGATGTGACAGAGAAGAAGGAATTAGCAAATGACTTAAAAACAGCTATTCTACATACGTTCAAGGATTTAAAAGAAAACATGAACATAATTAGAGGATAGAATATTTTTAATTAGTAGAAAACTTCTAGAGCTGAGAAATGAAATAAATGAAAAATTCACTTCATGAACTTAATAGTGGTTACACACTCTAGAAGAAAACATCAGTAAACTTGAAAGAAAGAGTAGACATTATTCAAACTAAAGCACAGAGGAAAATATGGTGAAAATTAAACAGAGCTTAAATAACCTATCGTACAATTTAAAGGTCTAACATATGGGTAATTGAATATCTTGAAAAGGAGAAAGTGGAGAAGCAGAAGAAATACTTGGCTGAAAATGTCCCAATTTTTATGAAAGGTGTAAACACATACAAAATTACACCAAGGCATATTATTATGTTGAACTGAGGTCTGTTTCACATGATTGTTTACATCCTCCAGCTCTGGACTTAAAATTAGGGCCAGATGTCCACAAAAAGTCTTGTACACAAATGTTCATTGCAACTTTATTCTTATTAGCTCCAAACTGGAAACACTCAGATTTCCATCAAAGCTAAATGGAGAAACAAACTGTGGTATATCTATTCAATGAATACTACTCAGCAATAAAAAGAAACAAGCTACCCATACAACCAATAACATGGATAAATCTCAAAAACATATTGCTAAGCAAAGAAGCCAGAAATGAAAGAATGCATACTGTATGATTCCATTTGTATGAAAATCTAGAAGAAATGTAAATGTTGCTTAGTAGATCAATTCATTGGATAAGTACATGGAAGGTAACATTCTGAAATAGTCTGCTTTTTTCTTTTGTCTTTCTAAGTTCATAATCTCCTCCCTGGTTGGCCCAAGGACAATTCTGGTATGGAGGAAGGGAGGAAGTCACGTGGTTGTACAAGAGAATTAGGATTATTACAAAAGGACCCAAAATGTTCAGATTCTGACATTTCAAGTGTAATTTTGTATCATTAAAATATCAAATCAAAATATAAATATAACTGTCCTACAATGGTTTATAAACAAGCCATTGTCTTGAAAGAATGTCTAAGTTATTCTTTCTTCTTCCTTAAGATTTTAGGACCAAGCCTACAGGATCTGCTCAAGTTCTCTGAGTTTTTCCTAGAGGGCATTCCTTCTGCCTGTTAGGATTTCTGGTAGAAAGGAGATAACACAGAGTGAAAGGGGGCAACCCTAAGACCCAGAGCATTATGAATAAATGAGGAAGATGGAGAGAGAGGGGGAGTCAGAAAAGGAAGATACCTCAGTGTTCACTTTCTCTGCGCTCCACCCCCCAACTTGAAGGTGACTCCTTTGGAGAAAGGTGTCTTCGGGTATATACTACAGATAAATTGAGGAAAACACCAAGAGGAGAATGGTTCTATGCCAACATGGGATAACTATGAGATGGTTTTGTTTGCAGTCCTGAGCCTGCCTCAGTTCCAGAGTGGTATGAATACAGTGAGCCTTCCAAGGGTACATCCTGGAAAAGATGGTGTGACTCTACAACAAAGGCTGACCATCTGGCCCTAGATCTAGTGCATGGCAGTGCCTGAGGTGGGTCAGCAAGAGTTGACAGACGACCAAGTCAGCCAGAAAGCACCTCTGGGCCCAAACAAATTAGAGATACCCCAGACTATGTGTTATACCAGCTGCAGACTTTAGCCACAAAAGCTCATGGTGAGTAGCAGTCTAGAGGGACAAGTAACATTACTCCAAAAATCAATGGAATCCAAGGGTTCTTCTTCTCTCCTACCCAAGTTCAGGAATGTCTCTTCCCTAAAACTGAGACACCATCTTGGAGAGGAAATTGACAGAAGGATGAGAGACTGAAATTCCTGAGATGCTGAGTACTTTTTCCAGAGATTGAGAGCTATCTAAAGGTACTTTAAAAAGAAGAAAAAAAAAACAAAACCAACATGCTCTCAAAAATAGGCTCCAGATATATTACAGTCTGCCGCTTCAGTGGTTGTGTTCCTTTGTTATTTTGGTTCCCACTTCATGGCTGTAGGTGTGAACCCCACCATTTTCTTCTTCATCGCAACAATAACAAACACTGAGAAAGAGGAGCTAGGCTTCTGCCAAGAACTCACCCTTGACTTCAGTGTTTCAGCTTTCAAGACCTGATTGTTTTCTCTTCTCTCCCAGGGACGACTAGCTACCTTATTACCAGGACGAATGACCCTTTGACAGCACGACTGCAACCCAGAATCTCCCCCAAATTGCAACCTTAGAGATGCCAATAGCACTGAAAAACTAATCAAGATCAGAAGGTGAGGAATACAAGTACATTAGTACACATATAATCTCCAAGTTAATTGACAATTTTCTTGGCTTACAAAAAAATCATTTCTAAAGTTTCTTTTGACATATTTATTGCCTTTTTGCTTACAGCCTGTATACTGCTGGTATTCTTAATGTATCAGGGATTCCACCATATGAGAATACTGCTTTTATTCTATTTGCAGTCCATTTCGTAAAATGTTGAACTAGAAGCAACAGCTTCCTCCTTCTTCAAGCAATCACTATTATTCTCTTACTCAGTTTTTCCTATTAACAAGATACCAATTAGATCAGCTATTTACTAAAAGAATATTCCATAGAACAGCTGAAACTAAGGGGCTTGGTTATTAACAGTGAAGGCAGATAAATAATAAACTAAAATAAATGGCTGGCTTGCTATTTAAGCTGCTTGACAACCTGGGTTAATCCAGCTTTAAACTGCCTTTTGCCATTATACCTAATTGATTAATAAAACAGTACTAGATAGAAGTTTTTTTTTAAATCTACATCAACCAGTAACTAATTGCTTAATTTCTTCAAAGTAACTCAAACTTTTCATAATAATAATAATTACAGCAACCATTTATCAAGGGTCTGCTACATGTCAGATACTTTACATGCATTATTTCTAACCTTCACCACAACCCATCTGGGCAAAGTATTAACACACCCATTTTACAGAAAACGAAACACACTCAGAGATTTTAAGTGACTCAGGGGACAACACAATCTCAGTTCTTCCAATTTCCTTCAGTGTTTCAGTTTACAATGTGTCAAATGACTTGTCGGTTCAGTCATGCAACCATTTTCACTGATTTATTCACTGACTGAACTGATGTAATTTACTCAATTGTCTTGGATTTGGGGAGATACAGCTTGATAGCTACAAAGAACATGTTAAGTGTCCGTGAAATAATGGAGTGTGGATTGGCTCAGGTCATCTTAAAGATTCTGCTCACAAGGGCCCCAACATCAAACTGGTTTTAATAATTAAATTGATCCACATTTCCCAGAGCAAGAAGCTGTGGCTACATTCTGTAAGCTTGTCGTGTACTACCAAATCTTGTGTGGTGTGCAAAAATCAAATTGTCATCCTCAAGGTTAAAGAGGTTCCATTACCTTAGTCTAAAAGAAAGAAGCAATATTGTTGAGTTACTGATCTGGTTCCAAGAGCAGCACTGAATGTAAATGGATGATCATTCTGCAGCTTTACTTACTGTACCCTTTTTTTGATGATGAGTAGATAGACCAAAGGGTTGCACTTTGTTGAAAATGATATTCCTTGTCTCCAGTCTGGAAGGGCAGAAGTTTTCACACAAGTCATAGAACAAGAAGTCTCATGTTACTATTCAGGAATGGCATATCTCTTTAAGCTCTTCCCAGTGGCTTTTATGGCAATGAAGAAACCAAGAGCATATTTTTCTTGCCATCTTACATGCTGTTTTTAGTCTTTATCTGGCAGCATGCCTGGAGTGTGAGGGTTGGTCTCCAGATAGATCTTTAAGTCTTTCTCCTTGCCAATTACCATCACTCAAATACCCTCATTATCAGTGGGTATCTTAAACTCCGGGTTACGCCTCCTTTTTACTCCACTTCCAGAAGTAGAGCTTCTAAAATAGCTGCTTCTGTTAATGATGCCACTCAGCTGACCATTTGTGCCTAAAGATGGAGTTGGAAAGACAACAGTTTCTGAAAGAAAAGGTAAATAACTTAATGATAAAGCTTTTATATACAAAAGTGCATTTTCTCTACCTAATATGACACAAAAATTAATGCTCTACAAAGGAGCCAAAGTTTCTAAAAGTAAAATGCTTTGCATATATCAATATTAGATCCTTTATCTTGCTTACATGATTTACACCAAGCCTCACAGATAATTGTAGTATCTTTCATCTCGTGTTTTCCTTCATCCCACTCACTCTAACAAACATCCAATAAGTTTCTCACTCCTGCTATATTTCCATTTCTATTTCTTAAAGTCTTTTTAAGACATAAGCATAGAAGAAAAGACTGAAAGAGAATTTAATAAATGTCATATTTATGTTAAATTGTATGACAATACAGTCAGCCCTCTTTATCTGCAGTTTCCACATCTGAAAATTCAACCAACTACAGGTGGAAAATATTTGGGGAAAAAAAGTTCCAGAAAGTTCCAAACAGCAAAACTTGAATTTGCTGTGCATGGCGACTATTTACATAGCATTTACATTGTATTAGGTATTATAAATAATCTAGAAATGATTTAAAGGATCAATATAAGGGAGGATGTGCTCAGGTTATATGCAAATACTACGCCATTTTATATAAGGGACTTGAGCATCCTCGGATTTTGGTATCCATGGGGGTCCTGGAACCAATCCCCCATGGATACCGAGGGACGACTGTATATTCATAGATATATGGGGGAGATACTTCGTATAGACCAAAGGAAGAAATAAATTATTTTCATTCTGCTTGGCAGTCTCACAGAGGGCTTCCAGAAGCTGGCATGTAAGTTGACTCTTGAACTTGGTCCCATGGTGGCCCAAGACATTCCTAACTTAGGTAATAGAATGAACAAAGCCACAGGAGAGGGAAATAGGAAATTGGTGGCCTGATGAGTTGCCCAGTGGGATTCAAGATTAGTGTATGGAGGGTTTGGCAAGGTGGAATAATTCAAGATCATAGAAAGCCATCTTGGGCTTGATTCTGTCAGCAGATAGGAAATACTGGAGGTTTTAAGTAATACTGTCTCCAATAAAGCTCACTTTATTTGCTGAAACAAACTTTAATCAACGAATCAGTGCTTTGTTGAGATGGCATAATCCATTTGACAGCTCTCCATCCAGTCTCACACATGCATGCTGCCGGAGCTGGCTGTAGCTTTACAGCCCCAAATGAGTCACTATGTTGACCTTGAACCACTAGACTTTTAAGGGTAAATCTGAAAGAGGAGGTGAGCTACCTCACCTTCTTCTGGTCTGGAAAGAGAGTCAGGCTTAGGCACAAACCACTGGGGGCTAAGTTCTGGCAGCCAGGAAAAGATTGCAGAAATAGAGAAAGGAGATGTCTTCTGGAACGCCCATTCTAGGTTGTTCCCATAACAATTCTCATTGCTCCTCCTTTCTCTTCCTCTTCCTCTCTCTCATTTTCTCCCTGAGAGAAGGAAAAGATGATCTCTGTCGATGTGCAAACGAGCTAGCCTTTTATCTCCATTACTGCCCTAAAGAGGTACCATAAGGTACAGAAGCCAACTGTACTTGGATGGAATGCGTGGCACACATGAAGAGTATGCCACAGAAAGTTCATTCTGCATGGTGAGAATTGGCCATGGGCTGTATGAATTGAGGTGATGTGTCATATATTTAGTGGCATGTGGCATTCCATGGTGTGGAGCATTCCCCACATCATTGCCAGAATTTCTGGTACAATTAGCTTGAATATTTCCTGTCTACTCCATCCCTATTTCCAATGCCTGATGCCTGAGATGAGGTCCTCCATCACCTCTTACTTGAAATACTGCAAGAATGTCCCAACTGGTGTTTGGGGTTGGCGGAGGTGGGGGTGGGGGGGGCGGGCGGGGGCGGGGAGGAAGAGAAGATAATTAACTTTTATTGAGAGTAGGGCGGGATTTTTTTAACACTTATCTTTTAAACTTTATTTTTAAATAATTTCAAACTTATAGAAAATTTACAAGAAAAGTACAAATCTCCTCTACACCCTAACCCCGGATTCACCAGTTGTTATAATTTCACAACATTTGCTTCAGCATTTTCTTCCTCTCCATATTCTTTTTCCTAAACAATTATGAGTTGGTTGTATATATCATGCTATTTTACCCATTTACATTTCAGCATGTATTTTCTTACATAACTATACTACAGTTATAAAACTGAGAAAATCTAACATTGATAGAGTCTTTTTATCTAACCTAAAGACCATATTCCGATTTCACTTATTGCCCCAATAATGTCTTTTGTAGTATTTTTTTTCTAGTGCAGAATCCAGTCCAGGACAATGAATCACAGTCATCATGTCTCTTCAGTCTCCTTTAATATGGAATGGTTACTTGGTCTTTCTTTTGAATAATGCAGGCCAGTTATTTTATACAATGTCCTTCAGTACGGGTTTGTGTGCTGTGTCAGGTGACTACGTTTAGGTTGTGCATTTGTGGCTGGAATACCAAGAAGTGAGGTTGTGTCTTTTTCCATGGTATCACGTTGGTGGCAAATCATGTTTTTTGGGGTGATGTTAGTTTTGTTCACTTGGTGAAAGTGTTGTCTATTTCTCCACTGGATTGCTAATATTTTCCCTGTTGTAATAAATATTTATAGTGAGATACGTCTATATAATATGAACACCCTGTTCTTCATTAACTTTCCTCCACTCAATTTAGCATTCATTGATGACTTTTACCTAAATTAATTTTTTCTATGATGGTTGCAAAATGGTGTCTTTAAAATTTTCCTCATCCCTTCCACATTTATTCATTGGTATATTACCATAAAAAAGGGCTTTCTCTCCTTACTTATTTATCTATTTATCATTATAGACTCACGGATTCTTATTTTATTCAGTAGAGTAGAATCCATTACTTCCTTATTTATTTTTGATGCCCAAATTATCCCAGATTTGACCAGTGGAAGCCCCTTCAGGCTGGCTCTTATGTCTGTTTTGACAGGCCCCCATCATTTTTTGTGAGCACTTCCTCACTTTTATGCAAGATGTTCCAGTTTCATTTGGTACCTTTCCTGCTCCAGCCATGGCATCTGTAAGGCATCATTATAAATAAATAGCTTCCCAACAAACCTACAAGCTAGGTACTATTAATGTTCCCATTGTACAGATGAAGAAACTAAGACCCAGAGAGGTTAAATAAATACCCCAGGGACATAGAGCTATTAAATAGTGAAGCCACTAGTGTTGCTGCTTAGAAGTCTTGTCTTGTCTCTCTCCCAAGTCCCCACCCACACACCCCAAATCCACTCTCTACAAAGTTAACAGAATGATATACCTCAAAGGGAAGCACTGAACCTCTTCACCACACAGCAATGCCTTGGCACCTGGCATTTACACACTAAATACTTGTTGAAGTGAATGGAATTAAACTGACAGAAGATGAATGAATAAATCCTATCACCACTTTCTCCTTTGCCATATTTTTAGTGATCTGGCCCAGAGAGCGACAAAGGGATTTCTAGCAAGAAGTGAGAATAGAAGAAAGTGAGGATGCTGTCAGCTTATAGGGCAAATGTGAAGGTGCCTCTGATGATATGAAGCCCTGTGGCCAATCTGGATCTACTTATACCCCAGGTAACTTCCACTTCTACACCATCACAACAATCTCTCACTCCTCTCTCCTACATTCCCCTAGCTCTCAGAGCCTCTCTATTCCGTTTTTTTTTTTTTTTGAAGCATTGTTTTTTTTTTAACATCTTTATTGCTTTACAATGGTGTGTTAGTTTCTGCTTTATAACACAGTGAATCAGCTATACGTATGCATATATCCCCATATCTCCTCCCTCTTGTGTCTCCCTCCCACCCTCCCTATCCCACTCCTTTGTGTGGTCACAAAGCACTGAACTGATCTCCCTGTGCTATGCGGCTGCTTCCCACTAGCTACCTATTTTACATTTGGTAGTGTATATATGTCCATGCCACTCTCTCACTTCGTCCCAGCTTCCCCTTCCCCGTGTCCTCAAGTCCATTCTCTACGTCTGTGTCTTTACTCCTGTCCTGCCCCTAGTTTCTTCAGAACCTTTTTTTTTTACATTCACATATATGTGTTAGCATACGGTATTTGTTTTTCTTTTTCTGACTTACTTCACTCTGTATGACAGACTGTAGGTCCATCCACCTCACTACAAATAACTCAATTTCATTTCTTTTTATGCAACCCCTGTATCACTGATTTTACTCTCAGTCTGTCACCACCTTGTGTCTTCATTTCCTTCTTTATCCAACTTAGACCCAGTCGCTCAATCATTCAAATACTTCCCAACCTCTATTCCCAACTTCCTAATTGTTCTTTCCCTGCAAACTCTCAGACTTGGAAGAACCCACACATCTCACTCCTTCAGTGACATCGCTGAGCACTTCTGGAGAAAATTACACAATGATATGGATGGTTGGCACCACACGTCTCCCTTGGCAAGGTTCAGCAATCTTTTGACTTGGTCCTGGTCAGCTTCCTGTCCCACTCCCCTCAAACAGCGATTCTAAGCTTGTACCGCTCTCCTTGCGTTCTCTCCCCAGCGCCCCCTTTCTCTGAGTGCCTCCTTCAACTGGAGGGAAGTCCAGACTCTCAAGCAGAAACCACATCATCTTCTGGGTCCCACACCTCTATTTAATCTGTATGTACAGCAGCCTTTACTTCCTTCCTTCTAAAAGTTAAAAGAGGTAACTTTTAACCTTTACAAAACATATCTTATGCTCTGGATCCCAGCTTGTACTACAACCTTCTTCCATTATAAAGAGAAATTATATCTTTTTCCTATATTCTTAATCTTTCAATTAGTCTGTACATCTTCTCTTTTACTACCCCCTTTTTTAGCCATAAAAATAAGCTCAGTTCTCTCTTATCTTGAAAAGTATTAATAAAACATCCCTTGATCCTACATCTTCCCTTTATCAATTGTCATATTGTTTTTATTTTTCCCATGAACAAGATTCTTGAAATTAGTTTACAATTACACTGCCTCCACTTTCTC